TGTAAACAACGGAGTTATTTTTATTTTTTTCTAAGATAGTATAATAGAAAAATGCTTAAATCACTAATTTAGTCAAATCAAGTTAACAAAAGTTATGGACCCTACAGCAGACTGTGTGAGGTAAACGAAGCTTACTCTTTTAAAGGTTGGTAAGACATGCCACAATTGGCCACTGGTTTTGAATGTGCATAAACACGCAGCAGCAGAAACGTGCAGTCGCACGCAAAGTAAAATGTTAACGCTATAATTTTAAAATTAGTGTTGCCGTTAAAATTTGAACCGGGTATTGCCAACGCAAAAAAAGAATGACACGGTCGTAATTAAGATTTCAGGATGGAAAAAAATGAACACGGAAGAATCGAAACATGCCCTGTCACCTGGTAAAGTCGTTGTATTTTTTTTACTTAATTCAGCAATTTATTCCGCCGGTTGACTTATTACGATTTTAGATTGCGAGTGTTATTATGCCATAATTATTTTCGTAGAATTAATTATCTAAATTATTCGATATTCTTAAGATATATTATTAAACTAAACTAGTATTTTTCTCAATGATATTTATCAATTGAAGTTTAGTACGTAATGTCATTTCACTAAATACTGGCCAATTGCGTGTCAGACTCGCGCACGAAGGGTACAGGACTATTATCTATAAAAAAGGCAAAAACAATCATGTCTGTGATATGGGAATCCCACTTAAATGTTTTTTATTCTCTTTTAAAGTATTTTTTTTTTTGTTATAGCGGCAACAGAAGTACATCATCTGTGAACATTTCTACTGTCTAACTATCACAGTTCATGCGACACAGCATGGTGGCAGACAGACAGACGAGTTTTAATAATAGGATTCCGTTTTAGTCTTTGGGTTAAGAACCCCAAAATCGGCGTAAATTGTCGTGAATAATGCTAATGCGTACATTTACGCAGTGTGGGCCTTACGACTTTAAGCGATGCGCTATGGCGTGGCCACGTAGCAGCTTCTGCTGTTGCATAAATGGGCAGGCTGGTCCGAGGAAGTACCTCACAAAAGACCGGCGTGAATTCGAAATAATATTCTTTCGCGTTAGTGCGTGAGGTAACCGGGGCCCACTTTTTAATGTTGGCAACGCACCTGCAACCTGTTAGATGTTATTGATGTCCATGGGCGGCGGTAATCACTTAACATTATTAATCTGAAAGAATGACTTGGAATATAAAAAAAAAACGAAGTTGAATCAAACTTTATATAACTACTTAAACGATTTAATAAATCTATATCGGGCAAATGTCTCTTTTTATATCGCCAAAACAAACCGTCAGCAATAACTGTAATAATAAATATCTCAGGTTATATCTTTCAAAAGTTTTCGTAATGATTTACTGTTATGCGCGATTTAGCTTCACGAATTTAAAAAAAAATGTGATCGTCAAATAGAATCAAAGAAATATTCATATATTATGCATAATTAACCTTTTTGCTTTAACGTTTTACCCGTTACAACTACAGCATTTACGTAAGCGAAATGTTATATATACATATAGGTGTGCAAAACTCGTTTGAATAACGATTATTTTATCTCGATGTTACTATTATACAATTACGTTATAATTTTAATATGATAAGTTTCATAACAATGACACCATCTTAGTTTAAATAAAAATAGTTTAGTTAGAACAAGGTAAGTACGTAATGTACTGAAAGATGCATCCCGAATTTACACTTCAATTTATTATAATCACTTCTATTACAATTAACTCAATTCGCTAGCTCGAAGCAACTCAAGACAACGTGTTAAGTCTATCACTCCAAAACGTCAATTGCCGCGAACCGAACAGCCTTTTATATTGCTGTAGGTGTTGCCACCATAAACCTTCTCTGCTGTCGCTGTTAAACTATGGAACTCTTTACCTTTGGCTATTAAACGTGCTCAAACCCTAGATTCGTTTAAAAGACAGGTTAAGAAGCATTATCTCTCTGTCTAGCTCCTTTCTATCTCTCGATGTCTTTCTTCTCTTTTTATTTCACTCTTACTTTGATGATCACACACAAGAGGTATGTTTTTCTTATTACTTTAATTTTTGTTGCAACTTACTTTTTACTTAATTTCACGATTGTGATATTTCTTGTACATCCTACCCAATAAGAATTTCTTTTGATTCATTTCTGAGGTTGCCTGGAAGAAATTGCTGTGTAGCAATAAGGTCGCCTTTTGATGATCAATATTTGATAAATATTTTGTTTAGTTCTGTACTTTTTTCTTTTTTGGCATATTATTATTACCAATAGAAATACTCTAGATCAGTATTGCCTACTAGAATATTTATAACCCAAGTTTTGTGTTTGCCAACAGTACGTAAACGAGATATGTGGACTGTACGTTTTCAACCGACTTCAAAAAAGAAGGAGGTTCTCACATCCACTGTATCTTTTTTATGATTGTCGCCTCAGAACTTTCGACTGAGCGACCCGATTTTGATGATTCATTTTTTTTAATTTGGAAACTGGCGCTTCCCATGCAACCGCATTTACCATATTAATTTCATTGGTTCATTCATTGGATCTTGCGCCTCGGAGATACTTAGGGAAATTCTGAAAATCAATTATAAAATGAATGTAGAGCGAGATATTTGAAGTCGGTTTTGTTTATCGTTAGTTAAAAAAATGGGCTTGTCGTTGTCAGCTCTTATGCATGACAATAAGATTCAATGACGTCAAGCCGCTAATTTAACCGTCCAATAATTGACTACAGCCTGTATCACGTTACACAATGATGCTACTGCGTTTCGTGTCCAACTTGAATCATCATATGACACAATTCGTTATGAAAACATACTCGCATCTAATCAAGAGGGCTTAGTAATCAGGGCACTTGAAAGTAACCATCGCTGTCAAGGAACACTGTAAATGATCAGTAAAATTTACTGAGTTTTAAAGCTGACAATAAAGGTGTTTGAACTACGGATTAAGCGCTTATTCGGCTCCATTAATTGCAGATTAGGCCCAAATTATGCGCGTTTTCCTTAAAAAGCTCATTAGAGTCAGTAAATTAAGGATATCAAAACTGGTGAGTACATGGTTTAAAGATTTCAAAAGCTAATTCCTCTATAAATAAAACAAAATAAGTTATATATCTGAGAAATTTTTTCTTCAGTCAGCAATTTTTTCATAACACTGCAAGATCATTAAATAATTTTTATATTTATTACTAGTCTCTGTACTCTAGATGTAACTTTAAATAGTAAATTTTTGTAGATAAACGAACAAAAACTTTCGGCGCTCCGGGATTCAAACCCGCGTCATCTGGGTTCGCGCCCAGACGCTTTACCAACTAAGCTAAGCGGTCGATAACATCACGGCGCGAAAATCTAGACATCTATCTACATTCGTTCTATTGCATTTTTAGCAAGGGGAGTTGGTTATCTCAGGAGCAGCTTATCACCATGGGTATTCACTTAACATTAAGTGAAACGCTTGTTAAAAACATAAAAAACGGTTGACAAAATAATTCTTCGTTAATTCACTTGTATTACAGTAGTTAGTTCACCTAGTTAGTGATACGTTTTTCAATGTGTAAATTATACATCACATGAATCTTATAAATTTAAGCACCCTCTTGTTTTTCTTTAAAATCTTAAGTATTTTAATACACAAAGCCGTAGAAGAGTACTAAATGTTAACAGATTTAGTTAACACAGCTTGTGTCAGTACTGATAAAATTTCTTTATAGCTTGACAGTTTTTAAGCGACACCAAAATTTATTTTAAATCGCGTCTATATATACAACAATGTGTTTTTAATAAAAATGCAAGATTTAAAAATAAAACAGGTTGAACCTTAATTTTAGATGACAACTTTGTAACAGATAGAAGAGACAAAAACAAAAAATAAATCTATTTTCTTCGTAAAAAATATTATCTGCATTAGAATTCAAAAAAAAACGAAAACCTAACGCCCGGTTTCTGAAACACTGATCATCGTAGAAATTAACGATGAGATTTGAATAATCTTCTTAGTGATCAGAATGATCAGTTAAGAGTTTAAACATCCTTTTTGCAACTACAATAACATTTGAAAAGCCATTTGACAGCTGAGTAGTTATTTTCTACGATGATCAGTGTTTCAGGAACGGGGCGTTAGTCTCCTTAACAATCTCGTTTCCTCAACAGATATGACAATGTTATATTGCAACGGATACATTCAAAGATTTATAACACGTAACGCAACATAAATAACGTAGAATAAACATTTCTATAAACTTTTCTCCATATAAAAATTGTGGGTTGAACAGTTATTGACCAGGAACGCAAAACATTAAGATTTATACTGTGGAGCTATACGATTTCTGACTATTGTGTCTTATCTAAGGAACAAGCTCGAGAAACTGCTTTCACTATTTCAATGACATATTTTTTTTTATCTTGCAAGCCGCACAAGAGAATGGTCCAATACTACTAACAATATGGTTAGATAATATTAATAAACAATTGTAACGTTTATAATTAAACATTATGAAGTATGAAGTATGAGGATTTATTTGTATTAGGGATAGAATTTTCTTTAAAAATAAATGTTATATATATAGACTACAATTTTAAACATGAAATAAGTTCGAATAGAAAATACCTTATTCTGTTCTCGCAGCTTTCAAATAGGACTCTTTTTAAGTAAACTTTCCATTTTTTACACATTTAAAAAACTTCAATACGTACCGTGTTTTAACATTTTAAATTTGTACCTCGTTCGATAATAGTGTACCGTTTGTTGTTATGTTCGTTAATATTTTACGATGTCTACTGTAAATCACCTTTCCATTTTTACATTTTTAAACCCATAAAGTACCATATTTTAACTTCATGTATTCTGAGATTCGTCATCAGAAAATATCAAAGTTAAGAGACAGTATTAAAAATAAGAAATAAAAATGTTCACTTTACATTATCAACGGTACGAGTACATCAAGTAGTCCAATATAAAATTCTTAGTGTTAAACATAATATTTATGATGAGGAATGCTCTCCAGTTGGCCGACGAGCTGCCGGCCAAGCTTTCGGAGATGGAGCTCCGGCCCCGGGTGATGACAAAGCCTGGTTATACACTCTGCAGACTCAGCCCGGATGACAAAGATGCTGTCATCGACTTCCTCAGAAGGTATGTGCGCATACTACGTGTCCTAACATGGTAAAATATTATTTGTCCAGGTATATAATAGACTGTGGCGGGGCCACGCCACAGTTATTGTCCCACGAATCGGCAGGCTTGTCTTGGGAACTATCTATCACTCCCTCCAACAAGCAGTTTTCTTAGAGTTAGTGGAAAGGAAAGCACCGCAACTACAACGCCATGATATAATAACTTTATCAGCTGATTCATCTACTACGCTTAACACCATTTCTCATGATAAAACACATTTACATCTCCTAATGGTCTATCCAGCAAAGTTTGAAAAAAAAAATGAGGATCAAGCGTTATTCCTTTTCCCGTTATTATTTATAAGTCAAATTTCAAGATGAAGTGCAAATCTTTAATGAGTTATAATATAGTCATCCCGTTTTTTATTTTTTATTTATGCTTTATGTCATTTAAAATAATTTTTGTCTATTGCATTTACCATTGTTTCTTTATTATAATGTTAACTTAAAAAAAGTTATTTCATCTTTCTCTGAATGAGATGAAATCTCGCACAAGCCCTACAACATTGTCATAGCAGGATATCGACAAGATTAATATAAAACGTTACATTCTAGCTACTTCGAAATCAATTATTCAATTTGTTCTGGAATAAATTACGTTCACAAATGACAAACAACTCGACGGGCTCGCTTCATTTTCTAAGTTAATCGATCGGAACGGGCTGAAGAAACGGATGACTTTTTTCCATCAGCATGAACTGATCAAATTCATATTAAATGAAAATAGTTTCGGATTTTATCGCGTTTTTAATTTTGTTTTGAAATTCCCGACGTTTCGAACCCTTTCCAGCGTTCATGTTCATGACCATGAACCATGATAAATTGATACAATCGAACAAACGATACAATCGTGATGACTCCTTTGCCTTTTATAGCTTCCAAATCAGACCCTCGTCTGTGTTGCCTCTGTTTGCAGGTTTTAAGCATGCATCTGTTTTTAAAACCCGGCCATCCCAACAGATTCTTCTTCCGCGACGAGCCACTGAATCAGACCATCAACCTGTTGGAGACACCGGAGTCGAGGTGTTTCGAGTTGGAGGACTACGCAGCGAGCACTCTCCGCGACGGCGTCTCTGTGGCGGCGGTCGATGACAACGCTCAATTTGTGGGCGTCGTCATCAACGGATTGGTTAGGCGGGATGTGAGTTAACAACATGATTTCAGTCTCCATCTCAGTGCATTGGGAAGATTTACAAATAATGCCCTGTCCCCTAGGAAAAAGGGGGCTAATGTGATGAATACTCGTTCAATATCTTCTTTGTTGCGGTAAGCGAGGCTTTAGGGATTATCCTGTAAAACACGCTTTGGGAAAAGTGCAAATAAATCGGTCACAAGACCCACAAAACGTGCATTCCTACGTATTCTAGCATCTCTGCCATTATGCTGGTGTTAACGGCAAGAGTTTTGAAATGGGGATGTATGTACTTCTTAAGTTCGTTTCTTATAATGGCCTAACGTCCTATGAATAATCATTACGGAATAGGCAGAGGTGATCAAGACTTAATGAGATCTTTGAATAATCATAATATATATATATATATTCTTCTATAGAGCTGGACCTAATTTTGGTTTTGAAATATTTGTGGCAGTCCATGAAAAGTTTAACCGATGAGAAATTATGGAAAAGTGGCATGGAAAATCGTAAACAACATTCGTAATTCTTGCGTAACATGCATAATTATTTTTCTATGTGTTCAAATTCATAAATTCCCTAGAAATAATTTATATGGCAAAGCAACGTGTGCCGGGTCCGCTAGTTTATATATATGAACATCGAGAATTAATATAATTCGTTAGCCTTTGTGTGTTACACATATTTGGGTGACGAACGTGTACTGAAATCAATAGCGTTGCACGTGCACATTCATCGTCCCTTAGTCTTTGTGTGAATACGAGTCGCGTTTCCTGGCACGTGCCCATTCAGTTTCACGGCAGGCTGTTTCATACCGTCGCTCGTCGCCACACCGTCTTCAACGCAATAAGCCACAGATGCAACGTAATCAGCGCTAGTTAAGCCGCATTAGCGGCTAACAAACATGTTTAGACTATGGCCATTTATGTTTAACATTAATGTTTAAAGCTGGTTGAAGCATCAATGTGTCTCTATCATTTAAGACCGGTGTAAAGTGATATAATTTTATGATATTCGTCGATGAGAATTTATTATTTTATATTCGAATTTCGAAATACACTATCTCTACATAATATTTCTGTCAACATCTATAAATATATATATATATATATAATATTTTGTTGGGGCCGTAAAATTTTTGTGCCTATCAAACAATAGTTTGTGAAATTTCATGTAATTTTAGATAGTTTTAAAAATAACATAGGTTTTGAAGTATGATTTATGTAGTTTTACGTCTTTCACCGTATTCTTTATGTAACCGATGTCTATGCGATAACTTTAAAGTTTTATTTCTATATAATATATTCGAATAAAGCCTGAATAATCAGGTCTTCCATAGCGACTGATGCACCGAATGTGCGACGTGTAGAATCTTAGTAGATATATAAATATATTTATTATTTTAATATTTTATCTTTGTATATAAATTGGGACAGCCTTTATCGTACGTCGACAGTTTGGTGACCTTTTACATCAGAAAGTCACACAAGCAGAATGACAATCACAGTCCAGTAACATGACTTTCGCACAGGTGTTGATCTATCGTTGATTACTGAAACATTGCATTGAATATCAAGGTTTTTATTTTACAAACCTTTATCAGCCCAAATGAATCTTTCAAGAAGCCTTCTTTAACGCATAACAAACGCAAAGTCGAAACAACAGTATACTTACGGTTACGGTAAAGCGTTGATTTCATTTTTGACTAACGCTTAGTCATTTTTCATATTATTTAATTTAATTCAGGTTAAATTAACACACACATTAAGCTTCTGACAGATTGATCTTAATCTTTTATTTTTAGTTACATTGTTTTCTTAAACTGTTTAATTTGAAGTCATAAAAGAAAATCTTTTTTTTACATTTGAGAACGAAGTCAAGATCATTCTTTATTATTTAAAGGTCTGACAACCCTGAGAATTATTTTGAAATTTAATTTTTACACCAATTACACGAGCCACTTTCTAAAATGAACATATTTCGGAGGCATAAATTATACGCCAACTGGACAACTGTCAATAATCACTACATATTATAAAACAATGTCGTCGCGCTGTCTGCTGTCCCTATGTATGCTTAGATCTTTAGAGCTACGCAATGGAACTTGATGCGATTTTTTTATACTAGATAGAGTTATTCTAGAGGAAGGTTTATCTGTATAATACATTGGGACCGTGCGATGCCGGGGCGGGTCGCTAGTATAATATAAATGAAATTTTATTGACCGTTATACTTTTTGTAAATGTCTGGTAAATTTCGAACACATTGCAGTATTGATTACAATAAAGAAATGTTTTAACTTCACGATACAATATGACATAATTGCTCGTTTATAAAATATGGGTAAGGCACTTTTATAATTTTTAATATATCCTGAGTTTTTATTTTAACTAGTAATTATTTACTAGTACATGTTTATAGTTATGTATATAATTATATGTCGCTACAGGTTAAGGAAGGGAATAGAGTGAAGGATAGTACTAAAATTTTTATAACAAAAAAAAATACAATCACTGCACTTGAACAAATATTACGAAACATCATTAAATAGTCAGAAGATATTGCTGGCATTCATAATATGAAAATTATGACGATGCAGAAGATGGAGAAGTTTTTGGTTACGATCTTAATATAGGAATATTAAGATAAAGCTAAATTTGACACATCTTGGCACTATATGCAATCCCAGAGTTGTTACGACAGACGTGTATCAAAGTAATAACAATATAAATCAATAACTTTAAAAATAGTGACTGTAATTATGCTTATGTCGAGTCAAGCTTTTCGAGGTATTGTTATTTTCTGTTGGTTCGAAATTCCCGAGCCGACAGCGATGACGGAAAACCGATAAGTGGTTGCCTAGCAACCTGCAGAGCCCCGGGAAAATCTCCCGGGGATGAAGCTGGGAGGCCTTGTTTCTAAGGCTCTTATACAGATTGAATTTCGGTTCAACAAAACTTACGGTAACAAATTGTTTTCGCAGAATATGAAATAGTAGACAATCTTAGTGAAACATAGAGCAGATAATCGCAGTGACACAATGCGATCGATATTGATCGACCTGAAAGGCGTAGTTTCGGAACAAGTTACATAAAGATCAGCACTAAAAATACAATAATTACAGTCAAAATAATTTTTCATATAAAATATCTGTTTAATTTCGAATAAAATCATAAGGTGAGCCTATTTTATTGATGTTACTACTTTTGTCCATAGAAATATCTGACAAATACTGAACCACCGATCACTTCTTTCAACCCTTTTTGCCTTCAAAGCTGAATTTACACGTTGAAAGAGTATCATAGGATTGTTTTGCGTGAACTCCTCCTTCGGTTCGAGATTTCAATGAAACTCTGAATGCAATAACTATAGTCAAATCTACCAACGTTCAGATGTAAAAAACCTCATAGTTCTAGGTATCCTCTTTTTCGGATTTTTTCTCCAAAATCATTTAAATTACATTGAAATATAAAACATATTTTCTTAGAAGTAGCTCGTGAGCGATCAGCTGTACATCTGGATTTTTGGTTCTCTTAAAGCCGGCTTATTCCGCAGGAGGTCGACTACACGGACAAGTCCGAGGAGTGTCCCCATCCGAAGTTCAAGCGCATCCTAAAGCTGCTCGGGCACTTGGACCGCGAGGCCAGGATCTGGGACAAGCTGCCGATGGAGTGCCACAAGGTGATGGAGGTCAGGATAGCGTCCACGCACTCGGACTGGCGGGGCCGAGGGCTGATGAGGGTCCTCTGCGAGGAGTCAGAGTGAGTAGCGACCGTTTGCACTTTTCACAACTAGTCTGTTCGTCTGTTTAAAAGGTAGCGCCTATATATGTCCCACGGCTGGACAAAGGCCTCTTCTCTACAGGGTTTTAAGGCGTTTCTGTTCGATTATGCATATTTTTCTGCGTAACGACATAAATCGTGTAAAGCAGTATATTACAAAAAAACTAAATAATAACTAAGCGTAAATTATTAAAAGAGACGAAATTAATGAAATAATATACTCTGTGCCACTCCCGCGAAAGAAGAATCTAATGACACCTAATATCGAAATCCTCCAAGAAATTTAGGCTGTAGAGCATGCCAAATAAGTATACCTACGTACATACATTCGAAAAACATTATCATTCTCCGGCAGTCGGGTAAAACAGGTACTAGTATCTAAGACGGTGAACGCATCAGCCTATCTTATTCCCTTTCGGCTTTACGCACAAGAGAAAAGAAATTTCTTGTCGAAAAATATTGTTAATCAGATTTTATCTGTTATATTTTCTAACTTTCTAACTTGATATACATAGTTTTTACGTTTTTTATAAAACAACGCGTATAATTGATAAAAACAATGAGATATCAAAGTATTCAATACCGTAACAAAGAATAAGTGATTGAAACTTCTTCGAATACGTTGTACTGTTTAAAAGGTATTTTTAAGAACGATGAACATTTTAAATTATGTAATAACAGATTTCTTGTAACAATTATAGCATTTTTATTAACAATAATAATATAATGTACCAAATAATGGGCGGCGGTTAGCACTTAACATCAGGCGAACTGTCAGTCTGCTTGCAACCTTCTCACATAAAAAAATGTACAAATACACCCGGAGTATAAACTTATCCTATCACTTCCGATTAGATTATATCATTTCTTATATAGATCTCTTCTCTTCTTAGTCGTTTCCTCACTGCTGAGGATCGTGACTCTTATTTAATTGGTCAACGAGCTGTCTCCATCGGTTTCGCTCCGTCGCCTGGTGGAGTGCGGCCCTTATAGGGATTTCCAGGTTTTTTGAAATTTGATCCGCCCACCTTTTAGGAGTACGGCCTCTAGGTATTTTACCCTCTAGTTTTCCCGTCACTATCAACGCTCAAGTTTATCTGCTCCTCTGCGTGTCATAGGCTAAAGTATCGCACTATGCGTTGTTATATATCGTACTCTTATATAGATAGATTAATATAATTTCTCATACAATCTATCAGTAACTGGACTCAGTTCACAAACATCCATAATATTCTTACGTTATCACCTTGACATTATTAATTTGTGTAATCGCATTTGCACAACAATTACTCGCTCCATATTAAACTCAATATAACTGCCCTGCAGTTATAATTAATGTCCGCTCCTGACCACAGCTTTGTAAGTAATCATAAAGGTGTCTTGTTGCTAGCGAATTAAAAACGGATAAACAATACACTTGTAATGGCTCCATTAATTGTTTTATCGAGATAAATTCAATTCTCCTCGCTCCGATCCGCTAATAATGTTCATGAATTGCACTTTTCTGTTCCGGATTAGGATGCTGTAATACCAAAGCTGTTATAAATATTTCGGTACCAAAATATCGAAAATCTCATCAAGGAACAAATAACGCAATTCTTTTAAATATTTTAACGTGGTTTATATTGTTTTCGCGTATAAAAGATACTTGTTACCCTCGTGTGACCATTAATGATAGCTATTAAGTATATTCATGTTTTTATTTCCGCGGCCTGTGATTATTGCTAGAAAAATTAATTGAATCTCATATTTGGACCAAATTTGTCAGTTTTAGCCGACATTTTAATGTGATTATCATTTAGAAACTTCAAAGGAAGCAATTTATTATATTTACAGTATAGTAAAAAGTGTATTATTAAAGTACGTTACGTATAAGTTAAACATCTTATTGTTATTTAATAATACAATAAAGAAATAATTTAAATTATATCTTACAATTATATTGTAACATAATACTCATAATGTAAAAAAAACTAATATAAAAAAGGCAATAAATTTTAAACTTTGATTGACTTTACCTTGAAAATAGCAGTACTCGTGTACTATAACTATTTTTGCCTACCTCTAACCGAAGATAATTACATCGCGAATCGTTTATTCAAATTGTTACATTTAACGAATAATTATAAAGTTTCACAAATTATATTCCCTCCCGTGCCAGTAGTGATCCTTAAAGTTATTAAATACTAGCTTGTCGCCCGCGGCCTCGCTCGTGTTAAAGCCCTTAAATAAATATCTTTCTTTTTAAATAGTATCTATATAATAAAAATAGCCTATGTCCTCAGGCTCTAAAGTATATACGTAGTACCAAAATTAATTTAAATCGGTTTAGTAGTTTTGGCGTGAAACCGAAGACAGACAGTTACTATAATTTCTTAATGTTATTAAATATATAAATGTGTATGAGCCTAACGCTAGAGATCATGGAGCTACACGAAATGCACTATATGTCCACCCAGGAAGTTTACGAACTTCTCTCTCTCCAGAAGACTATTAAGCGTATTAAAAATCTCCCAAGTGAATAAGTATTCCGAAAGAAAGGATTTATTATATTCCAAATTTCCTAATAAAATGTAAACGCGTGCAATGAAAATTATGATTAACATCAGTATTTGTATTCACTTCACAGCGTTTTGAATCTAAGATATAAACCGCAACGCATTAAACTAAATGCATGGCAATTATACATAGCTCAGTTTGAACAAGGTTTTTATTCTAAAAATGTAGAGTAATCAATCAATTTCTACATATTTACATTTCATAACGCTGAGCTGGTCCAATATAATTTTTATCAGAGGCATAAATAAAATTAACGGAAACTATCATGTTTCTCCGACTCTAAACCGACATATTCTCGATCTATGCCGACTGCATAGATCGAGAATATGTCATCTGTTGAAACGCAAACCGGATAAATTGCTTTATTTTTTTCCACGTGAGTAATAATAACTTTACTAGAAATTTAAATGACACAGATTCAACGGTGTAATGATCCTGTGCGCAAAACTCATTAAGTAAATAAAGATAGATAGAATTCTTATTATGCCAGGTATCTGCAAGACTACCGGTAATTAACTTTGGTCAAGCTATAAGCATAACAATTGTCCAGCTCACAATGAGGAAACAGTGCATAATTTTGCCATCATTGACATTATGTTATGGAAAAATAAAAGTGTACGTGTAACTGTTACCAACAACGTTTTCAAACTCGATAACGACTAAGATAGTTGGTTTGCACAATGGCTACTTAAGCTATAACGGTTGCACCTACATATTTAGTTTCCGCAGAAGCTTCTCATAGTATTTAAGGCAAAAGTGATATCCTGAATGACAGCTAAATCCTAGATTTTTTCGAATATTTAATGTAAGTTTATTTATTAGATTGTGTTATATAAAGTTTGTTGCAAAAATTACTTACTTTATAATAAAAATGAATTACTTTATAATGTTATAAATAAATTTCATTCGGCCAGGTATGTTACGTACACCTCACTATATAACTTTTTAATTTTGAGAAATGTACGTCTTTTATATTTAACCGTTCAACGATATTCGAACAAATATAGGAGCACATTATGTACAGTTTCTCATTTATTTTTATTGTTTATTCTGTCATCACCTTTAGAAAATTTAGCTAATATATTTTTTATTCGTATTTTCTACGGCCAGTAGGTATAAATTACGATTTTCTTTTAACTATTACATGCGTAACCTTAACCCCACGAGCAAAGGTCGACCGCAGACCGCCCTATGTTAACAATAACATATTTCATAACGTCTAAAACGCAAATAACGTTAATTAGCACACGACATTCAATAATCTCTGATGTAATTAATACGAATAAGTCCTCAGACAGCCGTTGACGAGATAATATAATATTAATAAACACGCAGGCACAATGCTATTGTTGACTAACCAATTGTGAAGTCGCGCTGCGCGAAGGTCGACCCTAACACCGGGTAATTGCAATGTTTGGTGTTGCCACCGACACTAATTTCTCAATTATCTCGCTCTGGTACGTGTATGCATCTTTCATTTCAGTTCTGACATATTCTTTTGAACGGCAATGAAGCGAAGCGATGGCATAAAGCGTGCGAACGTTACACGTTGTAATAAGTGCGGAGCGCGTCGCATTTTAGTCATAGTTGATTAACGCCGTGTGACCGTAACCGTAGCTTTGTGTGAAGAGTTCACATTCTAATAATTGATAGACAAATATGAACGTAAGCGTTCTGACTTAACACAGCCGTTTAGGAGGAGTTCAGTCACATACATACGCACAGAAAAATTTTATATTTATGTTTATAGATATGGTTAGAGTAAATGTTTATTATTTTTTTTAAACGTACTAATGATGCGTTCGTGTTTCAGACGGATAGCTAGAGAAGTGGGTGCTGGCGCTATGCGGATGGACACGACATCGGCCTTCTCAGCGGCCGCAGCTGAGCGTCTGAAGTATAAGTACGTGGACATTTTTAAACAGATATTGTCAAACGAGAAAAGGTGGTGGTATAGTGATTGGTCACCACCCTTCGACCGTCTGCAATGACTTTTTAAGGATTTAAACCGATCTTTTTTTTATGTGAGAAGTTGACAAAAGAAGTTGAGCAGACGGTTCACCTGATGTTAAGTGAATTCCGCCGCCCATGGACATCTGTTACAGTATAGGGTTCCAGATGTTTTGACAACCTTTTTAAAACTGGGCTCCGGCCACCTCACTCACCAGACGAAATGTGAAAGTATTATACTTCCACTTTACGCCGGTCTTCTGTGAGGTCGTGGTACTTACCCAGAGGAGCCTGCCCATTCGCGCAACAGGCGAAGCTGCTGCATGGCCCTACCATCGTTAAAGACCGATCTTCTGTGGACGTTGCTGGCCAAACCGATTTATGTACAACAGTAGTATCACAATACCGGCATAAGCATGACGCATAGGGTAAGGTACCTCACACAGTTTTATAGGTGCTAAATGCTCGGACGTGAATAAGTATTTATAATAATTGTTCACCATAGGATTGACTTACTTTTTGTTCTCGAAAGAAAGCAGTACCGATTTCCATCAAAGCGATTTTATTCTAGCCCAGTATTAAATTGACGACTCTAACGTCGTTTGCGTTAGGGTCATCAAGGGACAACATAATTATTATAGTGATTCAAGAAGAAGGTTTATATGTATAATAACATTGCACGGGTGCAATATTATTAGGGCGAAGCTGAGGGGGCCGCTATTTCTAATACAATAGCAATAATAATTTTTTAAATATATTTAATTATATTAAATGTGTAAATTTGTACGAAATTCGAAGTACCTGAATTAAAAAAGGCTGCTTTTCCAATTATTATTTTAATATTCGCAAAAACGTAGATCATTATGCGAATCATTTATTCCAATTAAAATTTCGTGAAATCTCAAAAACTATTGAGACGTACTTTCACAATTTTTTGTTGCATACCTTTTAAATACGTATTTAATTGCGGCTCTCGAATTCAAATTTCAAATTTTGAAACATGTCTCGGACTATCAAGGAGCTTGGCCACCCCTGACATATAATATCCATCAACTTTTCAACATTATGCGAAGATGCTTGATGTGCGTCATTTCACTAAAGTTACCGTTCAGTCACTTGGTTTCTTGCTTCTGTTGTATTTTCATGGTTTATGTGATTACTTACTCAGGTGCGTGTACGGAATCTACTACGAGGAGCTACCATACGCACCGCACCCGCCTTCACCGCATGTCGAAGCCAGGGTGTACATCAAAGAGCTCTAATCAAATCAGGTATAGTCAGAAATAAAGTAATGCCCTGTTCATTGAAGTTATACTTCTTTGGCGTGCATGGGGTACGAGAGAGAATGCGCGCGCACCACGACACGAAATCAACACCATGAAGTTAGTCGATAAGTAATGTGTGTCAAAATTTATTTTTTGAAGGTATTTTTATTTCTTACGCCTAGGAATTATAACTTCTTATGTACGTACCATAAGTACATATACACGATTTTAAACAATATTGAAATAATATTTTTTTTGTATTCCTTATTTTTTTTTAATTCAAAATGTAAATTTTAACTACACATACAAGCTCGAAATGGTAGAGATACTTACCTGAGATTACCCAGCGTATCTTTTAAAACTACAAAATGTTTGACATAACATCAGTGGCTTAGTGAGAAACTTTCTAAATAAGTAAATTGTTTTGCACGTTATACGTCTATGAGGAAAATTTTGCTGCAGTTACAAATGGCAAATTATGACATGTATATTTCAATTCGCTCGACATGTTTTTTTTATGTAAGAAAGTGACAAGCAAGCTGGTGATACACCTGATGTTAAGTGACAATGCTGCCCATGGACATTTGCAACGCCCGTAGGGTGGCAGATGTTGCCACCTTTCAATAAAGTGGGCTCACTAACTCACTCAGAGGCCAGAAGTGTAACTATTAGTCTTCACACCGGCCTTCTGTGAGGTCGTGGTACTTACCCAGACCTGCCTGCCCATTAATGCAACAGGGAAGACTACCTACTAAAAACTGTGGTAGGCGGTAGGACCACGCTACCGCCTATCACAGTTTTTCTACAGTTCCTACACAGGTTGTCATGTTGTGGCGAACTCACCTAACACCCATGTTATTTTACTATATAAGTTAGAATAAAAAAAAATTCCTTTACAGAACCACAATCCCATTGAGTTGACCGGTAGAGTTACGTCGTAAGATACCTTTAGGAAGCATGAGAAATTTGTTTTGCAAAGCTGCATCCTACCTTAAACAACTTTAATGTATTTATTGATAATGCCGTAGCTTAAACAGTGTTTTGTTGTCATTGTTTATCGATTTTTTGTTTCTTTAAAACATGCTGTATGTATATGAATAGCACAAACAAAAATATACGACATATAGCACACAAAAATATACAACAGTTTAAAAATATTTAATCTCTCCACCCTTTTTGGTTTATATTATTACGACTATCATGTGTTTTCTTTTTGTTAAAAGATCTGTCAATGCTTTTGTGATGTCGTAAAAAAATTAAAATTATTTATTTGTTGAAGTGAGATATGCGAATGTATAGCCAACATGTACATGTAACTAATGGTCACATTTGTACCTAAAATGTGTATTATTTCTTAAATAATCGTCAGTGTTATTAAACCTGTGAATAAAAGCGCCTAGTCAATTAAACGAGCAAAATGTAAGATAAAAATTGCTTTTATAAAACTGTAGGCGTCTTACAATTTTGTTATCATTTTATCGCACGAGACGCAGTTCCTTTAGATTATTTTTACTTTTTTTTTTTAGGATTTTAACATTTGATTTATGTTATGTTTATGTTGAATTAAGTCAATTTATCGGTGGATGTTTGTCAATTTTAAGCTAAGTCAATTCTCATGTGATCTGATCATTTACAAATAACGATATGTTTAATAATAATGTTATGAATAAAAAAATATCCCAATTTGTTTTGTTTTATTTCCTATAAAAATACCAATACCAGAAATACATATTAATTAAAATGATGAAGACCTATATTGAAAGCGGACCCCGTACACAAAAATTGTTTGTGTTTTTGTCCTACAAAACCATTCCTAACGCAAAATGATGTCTCAAATACAAAAACAAAATGAGTTTATGGTCGCCGATGATGATACGAGTAAAGTCATTGGTCCATTATGTATCTCGGTCAGTGCCACATTTAAGGGAGGGGAACCGGGGCTACAGCCCCGGGGCCTCCACAAAAAAGGGGGCCCCTACAACAAAAACTTCGGAAAAAAAATTCAAATTCAAACTAGTAAACAACTTTTCTTACATATTTTTTCATAACTCCTGTTTCAGATTATATTCGTTAAATAATAAAATAATCTGTACTTGGTTTCACAATGAATTATTTATTGGAAAACTCGACTGAAAAAAATTGTTAATTTTATTTGGAAAATAACTTGGGGCCAAGGGGCCTCCACTCCTTTATTGCCCCGAGGCCTCCAAACCTCTAGATCCGACACTAATCTTGGTGATGCGGCGGCTCAGTTGCCAAACTTTCGAGCTGCTAAGCTAGTTTATAAGCGATTTCAAGATGGGACAAATATTCGTGACCCACAGGTAATTGTTCCGCATCTTGGTGTTTGTTCCTAAGAAGGGTATGCAACTGGCAATGGTCATGCTGTGCCGAACCCACCTTAGTAGTTTAAGAGAAGAAGGAAGATTTTGATGACGTTAAGTAAATATCAATCAACAGCTACTTATGACCTATGAGGTAGTTAAATCAGTACATAAAATTGCAACAATTTTATTTCTATCCATATCACGATAATTATGAATTCCGATTACTTGACAACTAATTGAAAAGAAGCCACAGTAATTGTAAAATTTATTAGATTGTTTTGACTTACTTTTAAGATACCATCAACTTACTTGACAAAAACAATTATTTTATGTGGGAACATGGCAAGCAAGCTGGCGGTTCAACTGATGAGAAGTAATAACCGCCGCCCATTAATATTTGCAACATCTGTTGGATTGCGGATGGTTGCCACCTTTTAATTAATTGCGGTACGGCTACCTCACTCATCAGACGAAACGCACAAGTAATAACACTTTCACTTCACGCCGGTCTTTTGTGAGGTCGTGGTACTTCTCAAGATGGACCTACGCATCCGTGCAACAGAGAAGACTGCTTGGCCTTGCCACAGACTTGCAGAAGTAAGAACTACATTGGTTTGTTTGCCAAGGCCTAGGGAAATCCGCCGTTGCAAACGATGAAGAAGTTTCTGTTCACGATCTTAATGTAAGAATGTGCAAATAAAGCGAAAATTTGCGATACAATAATATTGAGTTGTTTCGTAACGGCCGTATCGAGGTAAGAACAATATTTTGTTGATTTGAAGTTTCCGGACCAAAAGCGATGGCGGAAAACCGATAAGTGGTTGCCTAGCAACCAACGGAGCCCCGGGGAAATTGCCCCGGGACGAAGCGTTGGAGACCTTGTTTTGAATATAATCATAGATGAACAATATATCAGAAAAATACACAATATGGACTGCTTAGGTTAGTGGTTACAGCGTTACCCGGAAGGCAAAAATCCTGTTAGCAGTAAAAAAAGTTTTTAGCAATTTATGACGACACTAGCTGCTGTCCGCGACTACGTCTGCGTAGGATAGGCTGGAGGCGTAACATTCAGACAGAAAGACATATATACATACAAATATCTATATAAACTATAGTCTATGTCTTATTCTTATGTATAAGCTATATTATTGTAAAGTTTCATTAGAATCCATTCAGTATCTAGTATTTGCGTGAAAGGGTAACAAACATCCATCTGTACATACAAACATTCGCCTTTATAATATTAGTAAGGATTTTTATTATCATATTAAATGTCTGTGACTAGCTCTAAAAATAAAATTAAAATAGTGATACACTTAAACATTTGAAATATATTTTATTGTTTGAAATTGAAAGAGACTATTCTTCTGTTACATACCCAACGTTATTTCGGGATTACTTGTCCCCACAAACTGTGCGACAGACTCACGACACAACATATATTCCCAGCGCTCACCAGATAAAAATTGTAATCATTTTAACACCATTTAAAATTTAAATGACATATCGTAACATAGGATTAACTACCCTACTGACCGAAAGCTTAAATGTTAAAAGAGAATCAAGACTTGTTTTCGTTGAAATTAATTGTTTATTAAAATATGTAGAAAAAGTACGAAAATATGGTCGCCGCTGTGGGAATCGAACACACGTCTTCGGCATTCGCGGCCTGACGCTTTAACCACTAAGCTAAACGGCTGATTACCACACCGACGAAATTATATATTTAGCATTTGAATCAATGCTTAGCACATCCATTTTTATATTATTTCCAGCATACAAACAATTTCAAATATCGTTTTACAACGATAATTCGAACGAGAGATGTCGCCATTGCTTTTTTAGAAATTAAAATTGTTTATAGTGCTAATCTTTGCACTTAAGATTGAACATTAAAATATGTAGTAGAATTAAAAGTACAACTCTGTTCACCTGTCACTAGTTTTCGTGAGAAAGTTTACTCTAAACAATTGAAATTTACAATGAAATTAGCATTTACATTCAAAATACGCGGTGCAAAATTAAGTTTTGACAAGCAACATGGCACTTCGTGTATTGCAAGAAAGAGAAACCGCATTGAGGGAGAGTGATAGCAATGTCCGCCATTATTTGTCGCGTAAAGTCCATAGAATTTTTTTTTCTACATTCTCAAATTTTTTCTACTGTTAAAAACGTCTTTGTAACCTGTCAAACACTTAATGCATGCGTTCCGACTCCTAGAAATAATTTATAGTACCTGGAGGACCAAGCTTTGCTCAGTTTTATTGGTAAATCGTGTATTTTGGAAATAAAAAAAATAAAGAAAGCAATGATCTGGTATAAAAAAAGTAAAAAAAATAAGTGTGTAAATGATCGTGACACGAACCGCGGCCTTCTGTTTCGGGGTTGATTACCGACCGAGCTATAATAACATTTTTTTTCGGCGAAATTTTCCGTCGTATTGGAATGATATTTTTCATTCCCTGAAAACAGGGATAAAAGGACATTTACTAAAAATTAAACCTAGCGATCGATTTTCCGCCTCCGAATCTACGCACATACTAAATTTAATGAAAGTCACTGGTGCCGTTTCCGATATATACAAGAATTGCTCGTTTAAAGATTAAAAAAGGGCCCAGTCAATTAAAAGAGCAAAATGTAAGATGTAAATGTTATTTTTGTAAATTTTTAGGCGTCATAAAATTTTTTGTTATTTTTTATCGCACGCTGTTCCTTTAGATTATTTTTGTTCTTTTTTTAGGATTTAAACTTCTGATTTATGTTATGTTTATGTTTAATTAAGTCAATTTATCGGTCGATGTCTGTCAATTTTATGCTTAGTCAATTCTCATGTGATTTGACCATTTACAAATTCGACATGTTTAATATTAATGTTATGAATAAAAAAAAATTAATAGTGTTTTGTTTTATTTCCAACTAGCGACCCGCGCCGGCTTCGCGCGGGTGCAATGCAATGTATTATACAAATAAACCTTCCTCTTGAATCACTCTAACTATCTAGTAAAAAACCGCATCAAAATCTAAGCATACATAGGGACAGACAGATAGCGGGACGACTTTGTTTAATACTATCTAGTGATGATAAACAAACCAATATCAAAAGTACATAATCATCAACATTTTAAAATTGTTTTATTGAAAGCACACTTTAAATAATGTCTTAATCACAAATAAAAAATTTTAGCGGTCCGCGCTGATAATACTAGTAAATTAATTAGTCGATATTGTACCTATCTTCATGAATCGTGGCTTAGTTGCTCAGCTTCCAACATCTAATATACCGTGGTCGTACGTTCGATTCCAACATGAGACGTATTACGTATAGCGAAGTATTTACGACCCACAGATACTTTTCCACGTCTCGGTGTTTCTTCCCAAGGTTTTTCCCCACCTCATTTGTTTAAGAGCAAACGGATGATGATGTCAATTAATTATAAAATAACCGACATTTATGACCCACTGCGTATAAAAGAACAGACCAAGCATTCTTGTTTGCTTTATGGCACCTTGCCGGGCGTAGGCTTCCTATTTGCGGAAGGTATAGGTCATAAGTCATAATACGACGTACGTGGGGAAACCACATAATTTCGAAGCACATTTTCCTTCATCGCTGAGCACTTGGTAGTTAAATCAGTACTTAAAATTGCAACATTTTTATTTCTAGTGATATCACGATATGAATTATGCTTATTTGACAACTAATTGAAAAGAAGCCATGGTACGCTGCAAAAGTTATTCGATTGTTTTAATAATGTATTGAAAGTATTAAGAGTATTGTTCCATACATTATTTATTTCAAATTTTTCGATTTATTAAACGGTTTTATTTAGCTCGACCCGTACGGAATTTGTTTGTTTATTTATTTGGGTCAAAATTAGAAATTGAAATTTAAGCACCTTGCCGTTGTCAGATTGATCTGAAATTTGGTACACACATTTAATTTAGATGACAATACAATGTTAACAAAAAAAAATTAACAAAAAAAAACATAAAATAAAACCGTTTAATTTAAAAGTTTTTTAAAGTAATTTCTTGTTTTATTTTCTAAAGTTTTTGAATTTGAAAACGAAGCAGCAAATACGACATAATTGTTACATTTATATATGTCTGCTAATAGTAGTAGTAAAAATAAGATTTTTATAGTGTACTGTTTTTTTTTTCATATGTTGTAATGAATTTAATTTGTTTCAAACTATTATAACAACACGCATATATTGATTCGTCTATATAAGTGACTCGTTGCCATTACAGGTTTTAAGGGCAAGCCGATATTTACCTAATTTCGCTTTAGCAAGTTTCCTTTACCCGTACGCCTTATAAATGAGTTTCTCGGTAATAGTTTTATGTAATAAAATAGATTTGTGTATGTATGTTCGTTATGAACTCAAAAACGGCTGTACCGATTTTGATGAAATTTTCTGACAATCTTCAGATTAGCCCAGTGGGTGATCTTTTGACAGTGAGTTTGGCCGCGATCGAAACAACAGATATATTTGCTTTGGATAATTATTGCTTCCTGTGCGAAGCCGGGGCGGGTCTCTAGTTTTTTATTCGCAACATCAGAAGGTGTACAAACGCGTTTAGAAAGGAATAGACTTTCTTCTGGAAAGTTCCTATGTCCCATCAGTCGGGAATCACCACCGCCAATTGATCCCACAAAGTGCGATCACATCGTCAACGTTTCGAGCTACTACGTTGGTTGCGGTCAAATCAAGGACCTGGTGTTGAGTTGCCCCAGCATAAGACGAGAACAGTTCACCGTGTTACAACTGAACTTGCACCTTACAAAATCGCTGTTGATGATGGGTCGGATACAGAAAATACTGCATACTATAAAAGCCAATTTAGCTTTCCCTTTCAAGTGACCGCAAAATTAAACGGCGCTCAATAAATATATTCTACAAATACATGAACCAAAACGCTTATATTCTAAAAATTATACGCTTCCTAGAATAAACTATTTCCGCTCTTCAAATATCACTTTAACAAACGATTGTTTATTCAATACGCACATCGGGATGACCAAAAGAAACCATTGTGTTGAAAGGAAACAATATGGCGGATCGTCACCTTAACATATGTTGGTAAGTACCTATTTTTATCTTTTACCGCTATAATGTAAATGCGCAGCCCGCGAGCTGAACGCGTACGAGTGAGTTCTAGCTGTTTCCGAACGAAAATATTACAATTTATTCTTATCTCCAATACCGGACCGAGTCACTTAAAAACCTAATCAGTGATAAACACTTAGTCTAGAATAAGAATTAATTGGACGTGGACCCAGGTACGTTACGCGCGTATTTTTTTTTTATTTGCATTTAACGGCACTGCTCACAGCCCATTTGATTCTTTTCTTATTTAATTGACACATATCTTTTTATCTATTGGCTATGGTAAATTAATTCGTTATGTGTAAACATATGTCACTTATAATACATAATTAACTTACTTATTTACATTTCAAATACTGCCGAAACAGTGACAATAACAACACAGATATAGTAGATTCAGGCGTGTTTGCAAATTCAGTTATCGCTGTTCTAATAGTATAATCATATTTTTACTGTAGTCATTTTATGTTTTTTTTTAATATGAATCTCTATGTGTTGAATTGAAACTAATATTATGTATTAAAATTTGAATATTTACGAAGATAGAACTAGCCACTTTTAAGAGAGCTCTTTAAGTCGTAAATATTACGTTTCAACTAATTAAAGGATACAAATAATAATATGAATAAAGTACTCATTCATTCCATTTTATAGGCTTCCAAGATGTCTGAATCGCCTGGTTATACAGTGGCGCCGGTTCTAGCAGAAGACCATGAAGAAGTTATGAAACTGCTTAAAAGGTATGAGCTATCTAGTTAATCAATTAAGGTTTTTAAAAGTATCTATCCTTTATGAACCTCTGCACACAGTAAACAGAGTACTTACGTAATGACAATAACAACCTGCTATAAGCATAAGTAGCCGATTATGAAAATTCCGGATGTTTTGTCGAAGGAAAAATAAGTAAACATTGAGGATGAGTGAGTACAACAATTAGTCAAAATCTTAGTGACTATGGTTTGTATATTATATGTATTATTCTTAAACAAAAACAAACTAATTCCTAACATGTCGATGTAAAGAATCAGTAAACATTTATTTATCAAGCACAATATACAGCATAACCAAGATGACAGAAAGCGCCCGTAAAACAATCGCATTGTATTTAAACAAGAAATCATCAAGTCTCCTCGTATAGTGTCAATGATGAACTGTCAGTCAGACCTTGGCTTAGATGATTATACTGGACGTTTGTCAGTCCGTAGTTGTTCATTGGTCTCATTGGGTGATGCACGATTTTTACAGTCCTTTTATTAAGATTAAAAGCGTAAACATCAGTCAACGAAGGCTATAGGTAGGTAGAAGGCAAATGACTTTTCAAATGTTATTTAAGTTGCCAAAAGGATGTTAACCATGAAACCAACTCACTGAATTAACCATTTGACAGCTGATTAGTTAACTTCTACGATGATCAGTGTATCAGTGTGTCGTTAGACCCGTATTGTTAACAGAATTAAATATTTAATATAAACTTTCAAAAATTTTATAAAGACTGACGGATAGTATTAGTTATTTAAAAAAATAGGTATAATTTTGGTTCAATTTTTTTATTATTACAATGGCAATACATTTTTTACAAACAGAAAGAGGAAAAGTCTGTTGGTATAATATTTATATAATGCTTTCCTTCTTATAGACTCGCGATGTAATGAAAAATAAAGGACAGTAGCCGTGGTTAAATGAAAATATCTTACGGATTCTACTCTGTCCCGTGACTATAAACACGTGGGTAATTTAAAATCTGTACAAAACAATATGATACCCGTAAAATAGTTTCATTTCACAATGTATAGTGTTCGCGTGAATACAAGAAGGCAATAAGGATAGCGCTCAAACTCTTTTCGAATTCAATCAGGACTTTCTTCGTGGACGAACCGCTTAACCGAACCCTCGGCATCTACCGATCCGAGAGCGAGTCCTGCCCCGAGTTAGAGGAGTTCTGCTCCTCCTCTCTGCACGAAGGGCTATCCCTCAAGGCGGTCGATGGCGACGGGAGAATTATCGCAGTGCTAATAAACGAAACTTGCCCAATACGGAGGTGAGTAGTACTTTCGACTGTGGCAGGGCGGCGCAGCAGCTTTTGCTGTTGACTAATGGGCAGACCCGTCCGGAGAACCACAGCCTCACTGTATACCGGCGTGAAGTGAAAGTATTATACTTCTGCGTTTCGTCTGGTGAGTGAGGTAGCCCGGGCCTTTTTATATGGTTGGCAACGCATCCGCAGCCCGTTATAGATGTCTTCTCCAACTTTTCAGATTAAAAATACTGTTTCTCTTTACCTTCGATATGTGAAAATTTTGCTACACTAGCGCTTTACGAGGTCGCGGGTACAAACCACAACTGCCCCCATCAATGGGCTTTTATCTTATCACTTTTATTTTATCTTTTACCGGGGTAGCTTTGGTTTGTGGTAACTTTTTACAGTAGTAGAACAAATATGATAACGGGTTGCTCAAATGAGGGGGTACAACGGCCTCATAGAAGACCGCCGTGAAGTGTATGAGGATGTATTGATGTCAGATGTTGTATTGTCTTCTTCTTCTTCTATCTGGCATTAATCCCGTCTATTGCCAGGGTCTGCCATTATTTCTTTCTTTAATTTATATTTCTAATTATATTATAAGGTCTAATGCAGAAGGCGGTGCTCCTCGATACAGCCCGCATCGTCCGCCGGTTTCTCTCCCTATCACCCTAAACCTCGGCCGTTTGGTCTCCCCCGCCGAAGGCTTCCGTCTGGTTGGGTCCTATTTATATATGTATTATATTTTTATATGTATATGTTTTTTCTTTATCCTTAATATTTATTTTATATATGCAATATGTATCTATATGTTTATTTTTTATTTATAAACCCAACCAGACGAGAAAACAAATGAATATCCCCCATAATAATAATAGCATTTTATTCAGATCAATGTTACAAATATATGAACATGAAAAACTTTAATTTAAATCTTAATCTAGTTAGTCTTTTATTTCAAATTTGCTTATTTTCTGTAGATCTGTTTGCCAGTCGGCAAAGGCCTCCAATCTTTTCCACTCATATCTTTCTTGAGCCACCCTATTCCATGTTATGCCTGCCACTTGTCTTATGTCGTCATCCCACCTTTTTTGGGGTCTCCCTCTTTTCCGTTTACCTTCTCTAGGATACCATCGTGTCACAATTTTGCTCCATTTGTCTTTTCGTCTTATCACATGCCCTGCCCATCGCTATTTAAGCCTTCTAATTTTGCACGTTATGTCTATAACCTTTGTTTTGTTTCTTATTACACGGTTACTCAGTCGATCTGACTTCTTCACATTCATCATGCTCCTTTCCATTGCGTATTGGCAGGTTGCAAGTTTGCTAGCCATGTTTTATAAGGTCCACGTTTGGCTGCCGTACATGAGGACTGCTATACCGTATTTCTAATTATTTATCATTATTTATTACACCAAACAAATAATTTCTCAGCCGTCATATAAACGCGGTGTTATCCACACAGCCACACATAATGATTTGTTACTTCATAAGTCATGTATTTTCATGCAACAATATTCGTTGCACGTATAAGCACAGGTACAGCGGCAAGTTAAAATTGCCACTTGTGTATATGTATGTATATTGGCGAACAAGCCGTCAATCGAATTCATAATCGTCTCCTTATTGTCAGGAAATCGGCAAAGAATTGCTGCGCAGAGCCGAAACAAGTGCCGACCCGAAATTCCAGAAGATTTTATATATACTGGCGCGACGCGAAGAAGGTACCCGTTTGTGGGAGAAATTCCCCAAGGAAAATAAGCTGGTGGAGGTGAAAGTGGCCGCCACAGACGCGCGATGGAGGCATCGGGGTATCATGAACGCTCTGGTTATGGAAACGGAGTAAGTTTGGCGAGTTCTGCGATAGATCACAACATTTCCTATTTAAAGTGATTGAGTTTCCTAAATAGAGGCCTCGGTTTGATCCATGTACAAGACCACTACTTGAATGACTGACAAAAAATCTGTGCATTTCGTGTATTTAGTAAAATAAGGACATTAAATTACAAGAAATAATTTAATTGTCTTCTCTAAGTATATAAATAAGTACAAATATCTACTTGAAGTTTGACTACTATTGAGATTTCCTTGATAATTGCTCTGTAGAGGTGTGAAGATAATCAATATGTATAAGGTAATTGCTTGGCAAAGTACTAGATGTTGTAACTAATTTAATATAATAGAAACATTGAAACACACACTCAGTTTGAGTGCGTTACTAATTACCTTTTACACGTCATGATGACAGTGTCTGAGGTATGCTATTAAGAAAAAATCACTTCGGATTACAAGCCTTCATTATGTGCAAACTGTCCAGAACTTAACATATTCAAGGCTACCAATATGAAATAATCCAGTGAACTAAATAATTCTACGATTACTCCGTGGCGCAGATGCCAAGGTATTGGCTTCGGCGCCGGAGGTCGTGGGTTCGATTCCCTCAGGGGACAAGTACTTGTGTGACACACAGATAATTGTTTCGGATCTTTTGTATGTTTGTCCATGTGAAATTTATGTTATACTACTGTAAGGCCTTTGTTTTTAAAATAAAGGGAAGAGAAACAGAATGTTATGAACTTATTATGGAAAATTTAGTCACAGATAATAATCATAAGAGTGACGAAATCACCATTTGGATTTGGATTTACAAAATAGGTATACATATGGATTTCACCTGTTTTGGTTCAAGTCTCTAATAAACCACCTTGACACATTCTCATTTCACACTCTGCATTTAAGATGAAACAAAGTTCTAGATAAAATTGTAGGAAAATTTTTCGCTGCCGCCAGGATCGCCTGTGCCTTGTGGATTACACACCCCGAAATAATGTGTGTGTTTTGGTATGGCAGACAGGAAGCGGTTCTTACTGTTGAATTTATAAGGTGCCAAGTTCGGAGAACTATGACCACTTAAAAGGTTGGAAACACAAAGCAACACCGGATAGTCTCGTTATGCCATGCGAAGCGAAAACTCCTAACAAACATTTCTCCTAACGTGTCACATTGTATATATTTCCGCGTTTCAGGAAGCTGTTGAAGGGACAAGGCGTAAGACTAATGCGCCTGGACACATCGAGCGCCTATTCTGCTAAATCCGCTGAGAGAATGGGCTTCGAGTGCTTCTACAGAGTCCGTTACAAGGACATCCAGATGGACGGTCAGCCTTTAGTAGTGCCCGAACTTCCGCATGAGTACGACTGCGTTTTTGTGAAGAAATTATATTAAACGAAACTTCATTACGAAAACCACTGACCGATTGTTGAGATTCTAAATGGTCTATTATTATAAAAGGGAACGACTATTTGTCATTCCATTTCATATAACGCGCTAATATTGAAAAGTCGGCGACGAAAATAGATGGTTAATAAATTTTCAAATTAAAAATCCAACGCCGATGTTTATTCGACTTTTGACAAAACACAATATTTTGTTCTTATCGATTCATCACTGATATACTTCGTTTTATTTGAATAAATTAACATTAATACTAATTGTCGATGCGCTGATGTTCTCGTTTAGTATAAGTACGACGTTATCTTCTTAACGATTTCACGGTAGTTGATTTCGCTGCCGTCCGCGCACGTGCAGCAGTCCGAATCTACGTCAGTCAACTTCTTGCAACGGCTGCAACTCCTGGGCCTCCTGGGAATTACGCTCCGAATTAAATATGTTTATCGCGTGACTTACAAACACGTCGAGCCTCGCTGATGGCAAATTAATTTAAAGGAAATTGTTACATTTACGCGAGCGCTAAACAGTAACACTTCGCGTAATGAAAATATTTATAGAGATTTTATCGCTTTTTATTAATCGCGCTTAAATCGGGGTATTGAAATTTCGAAGGGAATCAAATGTAAGAAATAGCCATATCTTTTATGTTGACCTGATTATGTTTAAAGTTTATTTAGATGAGCCATCTATTAAAGAAGAGCCCTCACATGAGAATAGATACTAGACATGATTTTGGGACAGTTGTTACCTTCCTACCAATGTATACCCACGAACTAGTGAAATAACAGGACTCCACGCCATCGTAAGTGAAGCATAGTAAGAAAACCGCACCGCTTGTACATACATGCCTCACGCACACATTCACATCATCAAATAGTCTGATTAAATGTATTTCAGAAAAAGATGGCCATCAGACTTCATCATATTTCCTAATTAGAGTGTATAGCAAGAACAATGAATCGTCAAAGACGTCATAAAAATTAACCCAGCATGCGTAAAGTATCCTTTTTTTAAGTATATGTTTGAAGTCACTTTTATTACACCACAACTGAATCAATTAAATTACGGACCAACTGCAGCAGTATTTATTCTAAAAAATAAACTGGCAAAACATTGAAATATTTTATTTTTTAAACATTGCCCTTACTTTAGGATAACATTATCCTGTTTTGTAAGGACATTTTACAAACATAAATTTCACGCGGACAAACACCCAGATGCGAAACAACTATCTGTGGGTCACAAAAATAGTTGTCCCGTGTGGGAATCGACTCACGACCCCCGACGCGGAAGCCAATACCATGGCAAATGCGCCACGGAGTCATCATATCATCATATTGGCATATTTTCATTCTTGCGGAATCCCTCATTGACTCTCAGTGATATAGATCCTACAATGCTTTACTTTCGAATTTTCGATATGCTTGGCGCAGTCCTGTTGCATTAGTCTGTGTGTCCTACCCTACCGAATTTACCCCTAGCGAACCTACCGAATTTATATCTTTAAAATCCACGTTAACTTTAAGGTACAGTTTCAATTTGTGATACTAATGTTACTATTATGCTCGTAACAGTATTGCAGATTTTTTTATAAATAATCTTATATTAATTTTTATAATAACTTCCAAATATTCGTTTATTACTATTAAATACGATAAAATTAATAAAACATTTTCATTTAATCATTCAACTTATCTTTTTGCAGGGAGCACATTTCAGTATTTTCCTGTCATTATTCCTAGTAATAGTTATTAACTTACATAATTAGAGCAATAGCTGCCACAGATATTACTACATTAATACATAACCAATAGATAAGCTGGCGAAATATTTTTATTTAAAAAGATATCTACAAAGTTCAACAAATCATTTACATTATTAGACATTCATCGAGGTAGATAACTACAAAAATAGTTACAAATTATGTGTATATAATCACAACTTCGATTAAGTTTACATTAATTAAAATACTATGTACTTGAATTACAGAATAGTCTACAAAAATACCAATTTATTATGTGTAAATAATCAAAACTTCAATTGTGATTACATTAATAATTATTTTATATATTTGTTATTGATTTAAAGAGTAGTCTATATTCACAATTGTTTCTACATCGGATCTGTTTTAATCTAATCTATGTTCAAATTGTGCTACGTCATATAGAATATGGGCATTTTCACTTTTTCTCGTTCACTAGGGACTGTCCCAATGACGCGGTGGCAATGGTCGGATTGGCGGCCGACACTATCTTGTCCAGCATCATGCGTGTCTGTGCCTGAAAGCGAAGATAAAAAATCATTCATCCAATACAAAAAAATCATTAGTTAAACACAGGCTGTCAACGCATCTATAACCCTCGGGTGTATGTCCATGGGCGGCGGTATTCACTTAACATCAGGTGAACCGTCTGCTGGCTTGGCAACTATTCACATAAAAAAAGTTCTTGCAACTGTCTGGTTTTCAATGTGGGCTTTTGACGCGTCCCGACGCTAGCGAAAGTGAAAAGGATGACGGCAGTTGTTCTCACTCACAATTAATGACCTTGTACTGCGAAAATGGTAAACGAAGGCGATATAACACGTTATGGGATCTAAAAATGTAGGTTATGTTGATTGCATTAATCGACCGCCATATGCATTTTAATTCAATGGTGGAATTATTTCCTAAGATTGGAATTCTGAGTGTTGCCAGACCTGTTTATAAGAACGCGGTTAGAAAGAATACATCACACTACAATATCCAATCAGAAATCAATTTGGGGACTGATGTTTAAAAAGAAACTTATACAGCTCAAAATATTTAAATGCATTACATTTTTAGCCTAATTCAATGAATTAGAAAACAAAATTATACTGCAGAGATTGGTAAATTATTTAATCGCCAGGCAATATCAAACGACGCTACACCACTGACACATTTTCTTTTAATAATTATTCGTATGTTTATAAACGTAGTTCATAATTTTCGTGGCATCGTATGAAGTTAATAATAAAAGTTAGTAATTAATAATAAATAGCTGTATGATGTTCGTTTGCGAAAACCAAATCGAACTCTCAAAAGGAGGCTGCAAAGCTGGTGATAAAATAGAAATAAGCGATAACACTTCCTAGACAAATGTCTAAATAAAAGCTATTAGGATTAAAGTTTGGAATTAGAATTTCATGAGTGAAAGTAATCCATTCTGTTCGCTTAAAAAGTGATAACTATATCACACTTTAAGAAAACAGAATGGATTATATAAGTATGTATATAAAGTAGAATCAGATTTATTTTAAGTTAAAAAATAATGTAATTTGTCCAGGATAAGGAGATCAGGCGAATTTATTTCTAAATCAGTCTCGACTCTATGAACATTACAAGAACATTCAATGCGATTTGGCTGTGCTATAAATAATTAAACATTTTTATGTAATGTTATTACAAAGATATCGCAGGCTGTTAGGCTTACAATCAAATTTTATTTACGATGCCGAATTAACCAGAATTGGCCCACTCTCGGTTTAAGAGGTTAACAGATATAGATCTAATGACATAGGCGAAAGCTTACTGGGTATAATATCATCTTGTCAGAGTGTAGCTATCTACACTATCAGCATTATCTTGGATTGCAGAGGCGTTTACGCACTTACGTTTTTTTTTTTTTATGCGAAAAGTTGTCAAACGAGCAGACGGTTCACCTGATGTTAAGTGAATACCGCCGCCCATGGACATCTGCTACACTCGAGGGTTACAGATGCGTTGACAACCTTTTGAAAATTGGGCTCCGGCTACCTCACTCACCAGACGAAACGCGAAAGTATTTGTCATACTTCCACTTTACGCCGGTCTTCTGTGAGGTAGTGGTACTTACCCGGACGGGCCTGCCCATTCGTGCAACAGCCGAGGCTGCTGCGTGGCCCTACCACCGTAATACGTTATGGTAAGCGCACAAATATATTTGGAACAACAGTAGTTTCGTTCAATCATTTGACTGGCAGGAAACAACCCACGACTTGGTGTTTTAAATAAAACCATTATAGACTATATCATGGGAATTGAGCTAATTAAACTATTCGAGAACTTCTCAATGGAATGTCACTTCCCGACCTATGACTACACAGCGGGTTACCGTAGACATATCGCCTAGAATTACCCATTTTAATTAGCACTATAAAACATTCCAATATTTTTACCACGTTTGTATAACTGGGTCTAATCTGTGTATTATTGCTTTAAGGACTTTCTTTTGAACTTTCTTTCACCTTTGGGAAGTTAGTAAATCGATCGCAAAGACGAAACATAAAATCGTCATCGAATACGTGAACGAGCTGAGGGACAAAAGAGGCAATTTCTGTGATATGTAAAAACTTCTCTAGCACATTGGATTACCTTGGAATCGATTATATCACACAAACAGCGGACAAAAACCCCTTCCTGCCATCCACTTAAGGGTCAAAATTATTTAATATCATTGCGATTTCGGTGAAAAATTTAAAAATACAGAATGGTTGCTTTGGCTCACGTCCAAACCTAGAGCTTTGGCTACGAGTGTGAGTATTTTTAAAATAATTTTTCCAGAGCTGCATACTTCGCAATGTGCAATTCTATATGTAAGATGTGTCTAGGCCGCGATGCAATATCCTAAATAACAATCACAAAAAGGAAAGAGGTTACTCATCAAATGGTAATCATACACAACAATGAGAGTAATGTTACTTGAGAAGAGAATGAACTCGTCCAAAGAGGTTGAACTGCGGAGGGAAATACATAAACTACCTCATTGCTGCTACCCCTAGCACTGGCCCTGACCCGGTCCAACTCCTCAGCTAGCATCATAGACTGTTCACGCACTTGCCGGCGATGCGATAAATAAGAACTCCTGCAATGATAAACTTTCAAATTATTTCATTCTGGAAGTATAAAAAAATCAATACAAATGATGGAGGATTAATCGTTCAAGTACAACACTAATAATAATTTATTAAGTTAATTTTAAGTCAAAGTCTAAAAGTTGCTTAGATATTAGTATAACTTAGATTTTATAGGCATTTTAAAGCCGAATTTGCCGTTTATAAAAATGTGGGTAAACACAAAACTTTGTCTGTTGTAAGAAATCAGAATACATTGCAATATTCAATTCATTATAAAACCATTCGTTTTGTATTAAACAAAACACTATCTATTAAAAAGTCTTTCTTTCATTCTTCTGACCTTTGTTTTACTGGAAAAATCCATTCTTATATAATATATCATCAGTCTTAATGATACTATATTTTTATCATATTATCCACTTAGTTTTGTATACATTTTTTTTAAGATAATACCTGATACATGTGGTCTTTTTCATAAAAACTGACCTTTTGTTAAGTTGAGAGTAAACAAGTTTATCGGTGTCTCTAAATGTTTAAAAATAACAAAATAAAATTATACCTGATAACAATAATCTGCAATAAAACTCCAACAAAGGCAACACCAAAACATATCATAATGATAGCAATGTTTGGTAATTTTTTAACACCTTTCACTCCATAATATGCATTGGAAGTAGTTCCAGATGATTTTGCCTCCTGATAGAAACCATATTGTGGGTTATTACGTAAACTGGAAAAAAATTAAGTATTATTAACTTGCCACAAGAAGAAATAATGTTTTATTTAATGGCATCTATGTTTATTTAAACACTAAACATTTATAAAAGAATCATAATTTTATGTAGGTAACATCAATCAATTATAATATTAACTTAACTAAACTTTATTTTTATTTAATTAATTATGTTAAGATTTTATTTTCTTATGTCCATTGTGATTGGTAAAAGAAATCATTTTGATTTTATTCTCTTCCTAAAATTCCTAAAACGATCTGTTAGAATAGCTTAATCTTTTCTATGATTTGGCATAAATACTTAATTATTTAGTATTAGAGTTAATACTTGTAGAAACATTCAGCATTGTAGTTGCATTATTTCAGCATAAAAATGATTACTACTACCTTGCCACTTGCCATAATCAGATGATAAATTATTCTCTTATGTATAACTTATACCAATATTAGATGGTTTTCCTAGGTACAGGTAATTATTAAACTCACTTATAAGGCACATGTGGTTTGTATGTGTAGGCATTATTTATTTCTATCTCAACCATGGTATCATACTGTGCTCTACTGCCAGGTTTGCTGAGCACATTGTATGCTTCCTGCACTTGCACAAACTGCTCCTGAGCCCTAGCATTTTTGTTCTTGTCTGGATGATACTGAAAGTAGTAAAGTAAAATTCTTTTACGGTAAATAGAAATTTGAATTAATAGATGGAATAAACTGCGATAGGCAAAATGTTTTTTTATGTATTGTAAGTTTTTTTTTTATGTATTGAAAGGCATTAAATATGAACATATTTTACTTTTATGCAAAAGTAGTAAACACAAAAATTTATTTGGTAATATTGTAGAAAAAAAATTATTATGTGCATCTAGCAAGGTTTAAAGGGAAATGTTCAGGACATTTACAGGTGCATATTGCAATTAAAATAAATTTTAAATGATAGAGAAAAATCACTAATGAATTAATGCACAAGCAGAATTCTCTGGCCCCTTATAGTTATTGAAAAAAATAATGAAATGGCATAATTTTCAATATAGAAATCTGCCAATTTGTTGTTGTCTTTATGTTAATTCTACTCTCATTTCTAGATGGTCATAAAAAATAACCATGAAGGCTATCCTTCTAACCTAACCTGTATCATTTGGATTGTTCTGTGTCGGTTATGACTCATTTAAATAAAAATAAATTAATCAAACCATCAATACAAATAGGACGTCACCCACTTTGTATATGTATTATGTTGGCAGGACTACATATTCAGTTTTTGAAGTCAAATTAATAAATGGCGGACTTTCTTATTGAACAAAACAAGTTTTAAATATTTTTTTTTTAATTTTTGGTCTGGCAGTGTCTGGTAATTTATAATTGCTAATTCTAATTTTGCTCACATGTCTATCATTTTAACAATATTTTGCAGTGGGAAAACGATGTGCCGCTATTCTAGAATTTTACCATTAATATTAAATTACCGTTAGTGAAAGTGTACGCTATAAATTTTTTATACTTAATAAAATCACTTTATATGTCATAAAGTACATACTTCTTTACTCAGTTTTATATAGGCATCCTTAATTTCTTTGTCGGTACAGTTCTTACGTAAATTAAGAACATCATAATGAGATTTTTTTGCGAAGCTGAAAATAAAAATAACAAAGTATTAGAACATACAACAACTAACACAAAGAATTAGGATAACTTAGACAATCACCTGTAAAATCGAGTACATGTACAAATTAACTTAAAGTCAGGACATCGCTTTACAAAAAACATAACGCTTTATAATTTTGAGACCTAAATATATTTGTTTCCACCGTAATCATAATATTATCTGGTAATTTTCATTTTCCATAAAAAATGTCAAATATCAATGTCAAAGTGTCAGTAAACGGGCTGACGATTGTCTGTCCAGTGTTACCAACTCTCGAAAATATTTGTCCCTAAAGCTTAAGTAAAAAAACCGCTAAATTCCCCTATATATCAAAATAACATTATTAAAAAAAAGCAGCCTCGTACTGGCCATCGCAATGTAGGACGACCCCCCACTAGATGGAGTGATGACCTGTGCAAATGTGCGGGAAGTCGATGGATGCAGGTGGCTGAGGATCGTACTTCATGGCAGTCTGTGGGGGAGGCCTATGTTCAGCAGTGGACTCAAACAGGCTGAAATGATGATTAAAAAAAGTGTAAATAATAATTTGCGCAAAGATTTGTACCTTAATTTCCACATGAATGGTAATACAGTGAAATATTACAGCTAAAATGTTGGTCTCATAATAAGTACATAATCACAACTTATTACAAGAATTGTAGGAAAATTAATAATAAAAAATCTCTCTTAAGATTTTTTAGATGACAAATATTTCTACCGTAAACCCAAAAATGAGATTTATAATGAATCTTTTGATAATTTTAATTACTTTTGGCGCTTTCTTTAAAATTTATCCTACGCTACCGCTATTGAATTCGTTTTCACACTTTAAAACTTTTATCTCTACTTTTCATAGTTCACCTGCGTATTCTTAGTAATGAAAAACTGTTCTAAATGTCGCTAACCCAACTATTTAATATGATTGGGTAGATTGCGTTACCCCAAGCTCTATATTTCTATATCTTTATTTTTTTTTAATAAAAATGCATAATAGAACGTAGAAGAAAATATCATCATCATCATTTCAGCCTGTTTGAGTCCACTGCTGAACATAGGCCTCCCCCATAGACTGCCACGAAGTACGATCCTGAGCCACCTGCATCCATCGACTTCCCGCACATTTGCACAGGTCGTCACTCCATCTAGTGGGGGGTGGTCCTACACTGCGATGGCCAGTAGTAAAAAAAAATATTAGAAGCCAAAAATTCCCTAAAAATAACCCTGAAAATGTAACGCCCCTAAAAAAAAATCCCAAGACGTTTGCTTAGCCCCTGATTCAGGGGGAAAAACCCCTAAGTTAGCAGCCCTAGATCAGTCGATGTCAACCAAGACCAACTGTGTTATGCAACAGCATCAGCAACAAATAAATGTTTACAGTAATTAATCAAAAAATAAAATATTTTTCGTCTCAGATTTTTACAACACCATAAAGTAAAACTATTTCAAAATATTTTGCGATACACTGTCATCAATACTGTCTAACTAATCAATTACGTAAGAAAAAGTGGACTCTGCCTATTTTTTCATTATGGCAACACTATGCAATTAAAAAAATATCTTTCTGTGTAATTTTATGTACCTAATAAATTAATAATATACAATCAGCAATGAATATACATAAATGGTATGGGTGCATTGTTTTGTTTTGAAAGCGGATCTTCTACGATACGTCTTACGTCGTCTTCTACGATAAACAAGCCAGGTATTTAAAGTTATATTATCATTAACAAATATGCTCATGTATGAGCTTATATTTTATAAGTTAAAAAGTATAAGTAGCGTTGATAATTTATATTCAGCCTCATCTCATTTATTTGTATCCCTTTCTGAACTGAAAAATAGGCAAAAGCTTAGGTCAGCGTTGTCACTGTTTATACTCTGCAATTGATACCGGCGCGCGCCGATACACAATCGGCAAGCGGTAACTGGCAACCAGCGACCAGTGATACTGTTGGCAGTACTAGAAGCGCAGTGTTCGCGCGGTAGGCGGCGCGAGTAGTTGTACGGTATGCGAGAAGCGGCTGGCAGGATGGCCGAGCTCGAGTTCGAGGCGCCGCTCGCCCAAATTGAAGATGCCGACGATTGTTTGACTTCGGCCGACTTTCCGCAGAAGACGATCAACGGCAACGAAATACATCTGAACAACATTAACAATCTGAAGAGTGAAATGACAAAAATTAAAACAGACTCGAATAAAATAAATGACAACGACGAATCGAGACTGATGAGGCTGAAACAGGACAATCAGCAGAACGGCGAAGGGGATAACTTCACCGAGACATTTTCCGGTTCGCTCGAGGATCTGGTGAACACCTTCGACGAGAAAATCACTAAGTGCTTTGGCAACTACGAGGAGAGTGTGGAAAAATTTGCACCGGTGCAGGTCCGCTCCCAGGAAGAGATAATGAACGAATGCCAGTGAGTATCAATTATCGCCTAATAAGCTTCCTAATTAAAACACAAACTGATATCATTTGTTATAGATACATGATAAGAGCTTTATAGTGCATTAGAATTTGAATAGGGATATAGCATAAATATCAGTAGTATTCACAATTTGAAAAAAAAAATCATTTTATAGTATAAACAAAAAGGGCGGACTTTGCGCATGGCGCTTGTAGACACCAGATCGATAGTTGTTTGAGGCGAGGGTGTTTGGGGTGCGTTGTAGAGGGTGGGCACTATGACGCATCGCATCCCCCGTCCCAGCCTTTTGTTTCCAACATAAACTTTATGGACGGAACGAACCATTTGGTTAATATCTCTCGTTGCTATGTCGGACGAAATTGATATTTACTAACTACCTACCATTCTTTTCAATATGCAATTTTTAATTTTTGGAGCAAGTAGAAGTTCATCAATGTCACGTCTTACAAGAAAGCTAATTCCGAATCAAATGTTATAAACAATTGCCGATCGTTGCTAAAATGTATTCAAATGAAGAAGTACTCTATTAATATATCGATGGTCCCTAGGTAAAGTATCGAAAGTGAAAAATCCAAGGTTGACTGGGAGATAATGCTGATGGCATTAAGTCCGCCTTTGTACACAAATGTTTGTGTTAAAAGTTTAAATAAATAAATAAATAAATAAAAATACAACTTTTCAGGAGAGCGATTTAAAGTTTATTTTTTGGATAACTTTGTCATTTATGATAAGAACTTCATAAAAATTTGGATTCACAGTTGTATTGGACTTATTAATTATTACGTCATTGCAAAAATCGATAATTCTAAATAGTTTTCGAGAAAAGTAAGTTACGATAGTATACAGTGTAAATGAACTTGCTTTATGAATCGAAACTGGCACTTTTGATTATTTACAGGGAACCGCATATATACAAATGTATCGAATCTGCCGATTTCGATATTTTACGTTGGCTTATGTTAGGAATATTTTATTGAAAGTGTCATATTCGATTATTTACTTCGTAGATTGCTTGCACTTACAATTATTTTGTAATAGAAAAACAAGAAAATAAATTACGTAAAACCTTTTTATTAGTGTGTTACAAATTAAACAAATGTATAAATTTTGATGTAAATAATATTTAAAATCAGTCTTTGTTACCAACTTATCTATGGTAAAATTTAGGAAACAAACAAAAATGTAAACTTCATTGGTAGATACGTAATACTAATTCAGAAAAAATATTCATCAGAATAACTAATCTCGAATTTCTGTCTTAACAAAAAATATTATAGTATTTACATCATAAATAGAGAATACAGAAAAATATCTTAGTAAATGAATATTACTCATCGGACTCATCAATATTTCAGATGAAAAGAAAAATCCGTTGCCGTAAAACCTATGAAATATCATTATTTTTTGGGTATTCTTTATGAACGACATAAAGAAATCAAATCTTTATACTTCGCTACTGGTAAAAGTAGTGAATCTGAATAAAGATTTTTTGATGTAGGACCACGCAGCAGCCTCGGCTGTTGCACGAATGGGCAGGCTCGTCCGGGTAAGTACCACGACCTCACAGAAGACCGGCGTAAAGTGGAAGTATAATACTTTCATGTTTCGTCTCGTGAGTGAGGTGGCCGGAGCCCAATTTTCAAAAGGTTGTCAACGCATCTTGAAACCCTCGGGTGTAGCAAATGTCAATGGGCGGCGGTAATCACTTAACATCAGGTCACCGTCTACTCGCTTGGCAACTTTTCACATAAAAAAAAACTACGTCGGCCGACACATTCTCTTTTTGCGGCTTCTTATTTCTATAGTAGTATTTACAAAAAATAACACTTCAAATCACATTTAAAATACAATCTGGTTCCTCTTTTCTTAAACTGACATCTTTAATGCTGTTCCACTTCACATTTTCATTTGTATTGTCTCTTATCCAATTTTTGTCATCTAATAAAAATTAAAGTCGTGAAGATCTCTCTTGGTTTCTTCTACAACGTGGTCGGGTCTCCGTTCAGCCTTTGCCCGTCGTAATAATGCGTACGATCATCGGTTAAGAGCGTAAATTTGTTTTTTCTTAGATTATCTCTCTATGAGGACGTGTACACTATCGCCCTCGATCTAAGTATGGCCTTGCTCTAAGCAACGATGAGCAATATCTACGCCAAATCGTCTTGAAAACTGCATTTATAACGAATATACGATTCTATTCCTATTTTGGCCCACACAATTATCGGACCAGGTAAGAATTTCTTAGCACCCTGATCTACCATTTGCGTTTAAATAATGCTTCAAACAGCTACTTACTTCATTAGCTTCTCTTTTACCGGTACTTTCTATCCACATGTGCTACATGAGGATACGAAGTACTGGTACCTTCTTTAAAGGCTAAATCGAAAACAGCCAACGAAAGTTACATAAAAAAGTTAAATACAGAAAATTTCAGCTTATAATAAAACAAACCAATGTCTCGTGAGTATGGATGAATACATAAGCCATTTAAAAATGTTTACACACAAACCTGTTGTGGTGTAAATGTGCTGGTAAAAAAATACTTGGACGTAAGTTGTTTTCTTGGTTTTATTAATTTTATGGGTGAACTTATTGATAAACTCCCATTGCCTACCTAGTATGTTTTCCTTTCCATTTCGACTGAGGCTAACCAGAACTTTCGTTTTTACGGGATACCTTGATCTTTTTACCGGAGTTAGTTTTAAAAACGGGTTTTCTTTCTTTTCCTGTACTCCTACATGGAGAATTACATTCCGAAACAGTTATGTATGAGTCTGCACTTGGTAACTATGTTATAGGTTAAACATAATCCTCACCTAACTTGTTAAGACCTAACTCTAAAGACTCGGGTTCTTGTTCTCCATTTTGATGTCACGTAATAATAGTATTACCTCAAGTCAAAATGACGAACAAGAACCCTATTTATAGAATACTATTTCTTGTACGGGAGACCCGACTTCTAAATCTGAAGAGGAACTCCGGGGAAGGTAATAGAGTTATTTCCCTGCTATTCATGAAAATTGATGAACTTTGGTCACTGTCTTCGACGATAACCAAGTTGCATGGGAAGTTAAACTGTGGTTGGGTCCATCAATTCATCGTTAAAACAAATCCTTTATATTTTTCCAATCATTGAAGACGCAGTTGGTGGGTATCGGTGACTCTAAAAAAAGTAGAAGGTAAGTAGGTAAATTAAATAAAAATAATAAAAATATTATTTAAGAAAGTCTAGTTTTATGAATCACAGAAAATAAATATTATAAGTAAGTTACTTCACTTTAATATAAGGACTTACCTATGTCGAATCTTTACAAAAAAGAAATAAAATCCACCCAAAACAATCGAAAGCGGCACTTCCAATTGAAATTTGACTTTGTAATACAACGTAAAGTATCGAAATCGTCAGTTTCGATATAATTATATTATGAAAAAACCACGTAGGTAATCGAAACCGGTACTTTCGATACTATTAGGAAATTACAACCCGTCATAAACAATCGAATCTACCCGATTCGATATATTACGCGGGAGGGTAACTTTCTCATCACACAATATATTTTATTAATAGAGACTAAAAAAAAAAACATTAACAAAATAACTATAAGAATTTTGCACGCCAGGCGCGCATCACTGCGGCGTAAACTAGCGATAGTAGTAGTTTCGTCCTTGTTTCACACTCGCCGATGCAGCGTAATCTCGCGAAAGTTAACATTCGTTGTTTAACGACGGATAGACTGTTACGTTTCGTTATTATACGTTTCTAAAAAACGCATACACAACGACTTTTTAAAATTTTTGAAAACCTTGTTACAAAATTACTATTATTGAGATCTCAAAACAGCAATAAAAAAAATTGCAATTTTGTAGATTCGATACTTTACCTAGGGACCATCGATATAAATGTTTGTATTACGAGTTATATATACCTATAGAAAATGAAATAGTGCGGTCGCGGTCTGATGACCTCTTTTTCTCATAATTAAGTAATTTTCGTTTGGATATATTAGCACCATTATTATTTTGCATCAAGTGTGGCTAAGTTTCAGATTTTTTACGATTCTCATTGTATTATTGAGACAATTCTAAAAGTTCACCGGAGTATCCATTCTTGTAGCCCCATGGGAGATCTGATTCATTACAGCATTGTTAAGAATCTTCATTCCCACGAACGATGCCATTCCCAACAAACGTTTGCGATGTAAATTACAGATTGTTCTTAAAAAAGAAAATAAGATCGATGTTTCTGTCATGCATAACGACATAGACAAACTTTCACAGTACATGATACAAGAATATTATATATAACTAGCGGATCCAACAAACCAAAAAAAAACAATTGTAAAAAAAACAAAAAAATTGTGAATCTAAACCATTCTCGAATCGTACTGAAGACAAAAAAAAAATCATTAAAATCGGTCCAGCCGTTTAGGAGGAGTTCAGTACAGAAGAATTATATATGTAAAAGAAGATGTTAAAACAATACTTCGGTCATTCCATTTGGCTGATTAATAAGCTATAATAAGATATCAAAAGTCAAATATTCCACTAATTACGGCCGACGTCCGCTTCTTTTCCGGCCTTGTTGCGGCTTTCTTATATTTATTCCACCGATCGTTTTGTAAACATAATCGCCCATCACGTGTCACGGCGATATTTTGGAAGCGCTCCAGGTGACCCAAATGCCTGGCCGTTGAGAAAAACCCGATAAAACTTTACAATTTGCGAACAAGGGAGACTCAAAGCTTACTCTTGCTTTTGTATTTAGAGACCCGTTAACCCGATTCGCAGTTTAAAATGAAATTTCGAAAGCAGTGCTTTGCCATGGTTATGTATGAATATTTTAAAACCCTTACAACAAATCTATGGAATTTTGCAGATAATTTCATCATAGAATAGTGGTGTTTTTGAAAGTTTTTGATAACAAATTTTACTTTTTCTTTCTTGTATAGATGACTTTTGAATTTCTTCTGATGACTGAGAAAACAAGGTTG